TCACTAATGGTCACAGCATACATGGCAGCAAGGATAGCATCAAAATCAAGATCAAAGATAGCTACACCAGCCCTAGACAGCTCTCCCCAGCGGGGGATCTCCGCGGCCTCCGGGAACTGCTGGCGCCAAGCGTCCGTCAGGCGGCCAAAGCAGCGCTGGGCGGTGTGGGTGCCCCCACACTGCTCTCCAGCGCGGTCGCCAGTGCGGAGAACGTAGGTGCAGGGACCAAAACCCCCACCGCGCTGACGCTGCGTGTACCACTCACGGAGCTGCTGAGGGGTGGGGACGTCGCGAGAACGCTGCTGCTGCTGCTGCTGCTGCTGGCGCTGACCTCCCCCAGTGCCGCTCCGCTGCGAAGCTCCACTCCTACCACCTCCACCTCCGCCACCCCCGCTTCCACCTCCACCTCCCCCGCCTCCGCCTCCACCGCCGCCACCTCCGCCACCTCCGCTACCACCGCCACCGCCGCCGCCACCCCCGCTTCCACCGCCGCCACTAGTACCCCCACCCCCGCTACCACCTCCACCGCCACTCCCACTCCCTCCGCCGCCTCCACCTCCACCTCCACCGCCCCCACTGGCCCCACCCGCTCCCTTGCCCCCCTTGCCCTTGCCAGAGCGGCGTCTCCCGCTAGGGGCAGACGCCGCACCGACCGACTCAAGACCAACGAGGTCGGCCGCAGCGGCAGAGGCGACAGAGGGCAGGAGAGGGGAAGGAGAACACCCCTCAAAGATGGGGGCGCGGGGGTCACCTCGAGAGGCTCCTACAGCGACTATGCTCTTCTCTGCTGCAAGGAGGGCCTTCTCTAGGCTGTCGACTGTGAGGGTGGTGGGACAGACCGCGAGGAAGTGGTCCCGGACTACACGAAGGGAGTCAGGGAGGCGAGTGACTAAGAAGTAGAGAGTAATGTACATGGGGGGGGGGTTCTTGGCGCAGAAGTCAGCAGGAAGCGCAGCGCGGTAGCGAGTGTCACTAGTGCGGAGGTGCGTGATGAGATCAGCGACAGTGGGAAAGGCGGCAAGGCCAGGGAAGAGGAAGGGGAGCATGAGGCGGCTCAGTGCAGCAGTGGCAGGGGAGGAGTAGCGCGCAACTACAGCGTCGTACAAGGTCTGGGCACTCTTGTACTGGCTAAAGTGCGCGCGCTCAGCGGTAGGCAAGTGGCGACGCACAGCAAGACGTGCAGCAGCATCGCGCGTGGCCCACTGCGAGCGAACAGTGGCGTCAGCATCAGCAGCAGGGGAAGGGAGGGCGCCAGAGGTGAGGTCAAAGAGAGACAGACCGTCCGCCCTATCGCAGTGTAAAAACAGCTGCAGGTCGTCTAGCCAGACCTCGAAGTCTACGGCTCGACCCTCAGCGTCAAAAGCGAGGACACTAGGGGTAGCCATGACGACGACAGTGAAGCAGTGCAAGCAGTAGGGGAAGGGCACGCAGCGACAGCGGTACAGTGCTCACCGGGCAGGGCAGGTCGGGCGGCTCGGTAGAAAAGGCGGCCCGGCTACTCAGCAACTCGGCTCCCGGGCGGCTCGGCTCCCAGGCGGCTCGGGTGCAAGGGCGGCTCGGCTGCACTGCTGCTCGGTGGTCCGGCGGCTCGGCTGCTGCAGTTGGGCGGCTCGAGAGCAAGGGGCGGCGGGGCCGTGAGTGCTGGGGCGGCGGGGCCGTGAGATGAGGGACGGCGAGGCCGCGTATCAGGGGCGGCGGGGCCGGGAGCGCTGGGGCGGCGGGGACGCGTAACAAGGGCGGCGGGGCCGGGAGCGCTGGGGCGGCGGGGCCGTGAGATCAGGGGCGGCGGGGCCATGAGCGCTGGGGCGGCGGGACCGTGAGATCAGGGACGGCGAGGCCGCGGGCGCTGGGGCGGCGGGGCCGCGTATCAGGGGCGGCGGGGCCAGGAGCGCTGGGGCGGCGGGGCCGCGTAACAGGGGCGGCGGGGCCGGGAGCGCTGGGGCGGCGGGGCCGCGAGATCAGGGGCGGCGGGGCCGTGAGCGCTGGGGCGGCGGGGCCGTGAGATCAGGGACGGCGGGGCCGCGGGCGCTGGGGCGGCGGGGCCGCGTATCAGGGGCGGCGGGGCCAGGAGCGTTGGGGCGGCGGGGCCGCGAGATCAGGGACGGCGGGGGCCGCGAGTGCTTGGGCGGCGGGGCCGCGTATCAGGGGCGGCGGGGCCGGGAGCGCTGGGGCGGCGGGGCCGCGAGATCAGGGACGGCGGGGGCCACGAGCGCTTGGGCGGCGGGGCCGCGAGAGAAGAGGCGGCGGGGCCGCGTTCACTGGGTGGCGGGGCCGCGAGGGTAAGGCCGGCCGCTAGGGCGGCTCGGGGAAGGAGTGGCCCGAGGCGCGACTCGGGATGAGTGCGCTTCGGGCAGGAAAAAATAAATTTCGAGTGGTGGGCCCTAGGCACAGTTCCCACAGAGGAACCTGCTCTATACCATGTGGAAAACTGAACGAGAATGAGTGCACTATGAAATGAAGTGAGTACAAATATGAAACCCTAATTGGGTTGTACCCCCTATGGGATACCCCACTATAGCCTACATAAAAGAGTAAGCTATAATGTTCTGACACAGAGTTGTCAGGCAACAACTCGAGTGCGTCAACAGTGGCAAGGTCGGCGGAAGAATCGGACGACGATGCCATAGAGATGAGGGTGGGTAGAGGCTAGGGCAGGAGGAGGATGATGCGAGGGTACCGTTGCCAATGCTGCTGCTGGCCCTGCTGCCCGTGCCGCTGCTGGTTCTGCTGGTGCCGCTGTGGATGCTGCTGCGGGTAGGATGGGAGGAGGAAGGGAGGAGCGGAGGGTGGGGAAGGTGGAGGAGGAGGAGGGCGATGCTATGGGGGATGCACGGGGGAAGGGTGCTGCTCGTGGTGCCGCTGCAGGTGCTGCTGCAGGTAGGATGGGAGGAGGAAGGGAGAGAGGGGGGGGGAGGGGACGAAGAGGGCAGCCGTGCGGCAGATCCGCGCGTCTGGGAAGCCCGTGGCGAATGCACGCGGGACAGCCCGCGGCAAACGAGCGGGACGTGCAGAGATGGGTGCGAAATGGTCAGATTTCAGCGCGGGAGATGCAGATCTGGTCGTGCGGAGGGCAGATCTGGTCGCGCGGAGGGCAGATCTGGTCGCGCGGAGGGCAGATCTGGTCGCGCGGAGTGCAGATCTGGTTGCGCGGAGTGCAGATCTGGGCGGAGGGCAGATCTGTGCGTGCGAAGTGCAGATGTGGTCGCGCGGAGTGCAGATCTGGTCACGCGGAGTGCAGATCTGGTCGCGCGGAGTGCAGATCTGGTCGCGCAGAGTGCAGATCTGGGCGCGCGGAGGGCAGATCTGGGTGCGCGAAGTGCAGATGTGGTCGCGCGGTGTGCAGATCTGGTCGCGCGGAGTGCAGATCTGGTCGCGCGGGGTGCAGATCTGGTCGCGCGGAGTGCAGATCTGGGCGCGCGGAGGGCAGATCTGGGCGCGCAAAGTGCAGATCTGGGCGCGCGAAGTGCAGATGTGGTCGCGCGGGGTGCAGATCTGGTCGCGCGGAGTGCAGATCTGGTCGCGCGGAGTGCAGATCTGGTCACGCGGAGGGCAGATCTGAGTGCGCAAAGGGCGGATCTGGGCAGGCGGAGTGCAGATCTGGGCGTGCGGAGTGCAGATCTGGGTGCGAAATGTTCAGATCTGGGCGCGGGAGGAGGAGATCTGGTGGCGCGGAATCCAGATCTGGGCGCGGAATGACCAGATCTAGGCGCGGGAGGAGTAGATCTGGTCGCAGGGAGTGCAGATCTGGGCGGTGGAGTTGCAGATCTGAGCGCGGGGAGTGCAGATCTGGGCGCTAGAGTTGCAGATCTGGACGTGCCTTGGAGGGCAGCGCCTTAGGGGGCGCACGGGGAGGGAGGACAGTGTTTAAAGGGCGCGTGAAGGGAGGGCAGCTTCGTGGGTAGGGCTAGATATGAGGAACGGGGAGGAGAGGGTGGCCTAAGGACCGAGGGAGGTAGGCGTGAGCCATTAGCTCATGATACCATGTTAGAAGAGAGAGAATTGATACATTGAATAATGAGCCAAGAGGCTCTTTAGTACAAACAATGAGCAAGAGAGAGATGAGAGGAAAGCTTACCCTATTGGCCAATACGTTGGCCAATGGGTGAGCTTGCTTGTGACCCAAGCAACCACAAATGTGTGTTGGCTGGGATTGGTTAAGGACCAATCCCAACCAACCACAAAATGTGGTTGGAGGGTACACTAAGCAACCCCCCAATTCATAAATGTGCTACACTTCTAGCCTATGTATGTTGTATGAAATATAAAATTACAACAGATGCTGCTGCTGGTGCTGCTGCCACGGCTGCTTCTACTGCTGCCCCCGCTGCTACAGATGTTGCTGGTGCGGCTTTTGCCCGTACCGACAGTGCTGCAGCTGCTGCTTCCGTGCATTCGCCTCCGTCTCCCATCGACCCTGCCTCACTCTCCACCCACGTTGGCCACTTTATCCTGCCTACCCTGCAACCCACCTCGCCCCACCCGCACTCCCATCTACGCACAGCAGACAGCACAGCAGGTGCCCCTCGTGTTGCAGACTTGGATGTAGCTGCGTGCTCCTCCTACCTCCTCCACTGCCTTTCTGGCCTGCTGCACCTCACCTCCCTTCCCTCCTCCCTCCCCTCCTCGTTCTCCTCCCCTGTTCCACATACCTCCTCCTCGCTCCCCCACAGCCCCCCATCGAGCCTGCCATTCCGAACATGTCCGCTAGGCCCGGATGACGAGGTTCTCCTGGTGGAGCTCCTGTGTGAGAGGCTCGGGCCGTTGCTGCTGGCCGGGGGGGGGGGGGGGGGGCGCGAATGGAGGTGCAGAGACAGATGGGGAGGAGGGCAGGGGAGGGCAAAGGAGGGGGAGGAGTGGGAGAGGGTGTGGGGTCGGTGCGAGGGGGGTATGCTGTATGGGCCTCCCTGCTGCCTCTCCTCCTCCATCAGCAGCAGCAGTAGCAGCAGCAGAAGCAGCAGAAGCAGCAAAAGCAGCAAGGATGGAGGATGGTGGACCGAGTAATGGACTCGCTTCACCTGTGTCTGGAGGACCATGAGTGGTCCGGCATCATTCCGGCTCTCATGGACGCCCTAGCCTTCTACTCCCGAACCTCCCTCGTAGGTTCGGCTGCGTTCACAGTGCCGAACCTAGCCGGTGCAGGAGCACAAGCAGTTTCCAGCTCGGGAAAACCCCAAGAGGTTTGGCAAGAGGGGCGGGATCCGTACCCGTACCTATCCCTAGCCTGCCACTTAGCTAAGCGACAGGAGGTACTAAGCGCATGGTGGGCTGCAGACAGATTCTCCTCGAATCTAGAGGCATTTCTGACACGCAGAGTAGCTACGAAGGTGGATCTGCAGAGGCTGTTTCCCTCGCTGTGGTGGGGTGGCTCCAAGGAGGACGACTGTAGCAAAGCAGGCTTGGAAGAAAGCAAGAAGGCGCTTGTGAAGGCAACGTCTAGGGTGGAGCTCTGCCAAGTGTCGCTCTGCCGCTCTCTCCTCTTCTTTGTACCCTGTAAGAGCATGACCGGGGCTTCGTCGACTTATTCGCTTGCGACTGGTGGCGTGCTTGCACCGTTTTTGAGGAGCCTGATCCGCAAGAACCGGGCGGCAAACAGGAATATTAGGCCGCCCGGGCTCTCGGATAGTAGCGTGCTGGTGACGGCGTTTTTTGTCCTCTTCCGGCTGTTGTGGGCGGGGCTAGTGGGCCGTGGAGGCGGGAAACTGCAGAAGACAAAGAGAGCTGGGGTTTTAAGAGGGTCACATGTCTTAGTAGAATCAGGGAGTGGAAGAGAGGGAGAAGCAGAGGGAATGGAGGTTGATTTTGAAAGAGGAACGTCAGGGAGGGAGGGTAGGCGGGTGGGGAAGGTAGAGAGGGAGGGATGGGAAGTGGAGGAAGAGGAGGAGGAAGAGGAGGAGGAGGAGGAGGGGGAAGAGGAAGAGGAGGAAGAGAGCGAGGAAGTATCAATGCTTCCGTGGCCAAGAACCCCCTCTGGGGCCATCAGGAGCAGCGTCAAGAGGCAAGCAGTGCCTTGGATAGCAGCAGTAGCATAGCAGCTGTTACAGCCATTGCCACTGCAGGCATCAGCTTAGGTGCCACCGGCACTGCTGGCATCCCTGCAAGGGGGTTACCTGCAGCGTCACGGGCCGTGGAAGTTTCCTGTGGCCTTCTTCTTGCACCCGGATTTGCATTACTTTGACTTGCCACACCTAGGCGGGCTGTTCAGCCACGTGGCCAAGGCCTTCCCCCTCTCCGCTCCCCAGGACTTTGCCAGCGTGGCATGGAGTGATGATGACGTGGATGATGATCATTGGGCGGCAGGAGAGGAGGGGGAGGGGGAGGCGAGTGGGGGAACGGGGGAGAGGAGAAGTGAGGAGCGGGGGACGGGGGGAGGAGGTACAGGGGAAGGAGGGGGAGCAGGCGGGGGGAGGAGAGCAGAGGGAGTGCAAGAGAGGGAAATAGGAGGAGGGAGGAGTGAGGGGGATGTTGAACGTGAGGGGGAGGAGAGGGGTGAGGAGAAGGCGGAGAGGGGGAAGGGGGAGGAGGATGAGAGGGAGGTGCTTCTGCTAGACATGGCAGTGCTGCTGTTCCACCTCAGGGGCGTGGGTGCCTTCAAACAGGTCCGTCCGTCCGTCATTCAGTCAGTCAGTCAGTCAGTCAGCCAGTGTGCGTCAAGAGCCATAGCTGAGTGCCTCACAGGCCATGATACTCATGCTGTTGGCTGCTTCTGCGGCCCGCTGCCACAACACCCTCCTTCTCTTCCTTCCCCACCTCCTTTCCTCTCTTCTGAAGGCTTTTACCTTCTCGTCCTTCCCTTCCATCCTCCCTTCTCTCCGCTCCCTCCCCTCCCTTCCGCCTCCCGCTCCAACCCTCCCCAGGCGGCGCTACAGCAGCAGGGCATGGTGCAAGCGGTGGCACAGCTGGACGCGGACAGGACAGACAGATCGAAGCCTTCCTCCATCCCTCCTACTCCCGCCTTCACCTCTCTCCCACCACTCCCTCTCCCGCCCCCTCCCCCTCCCCCGTTCCCCAGGCAACACTGCAGTAGCAGGGCATGGTGCAGGCAGTGGCGCAGCTGGAAGATGCGGACAGGAAGATCGCTGCTGCCATGGGGGGGCGCACGGAGGGAGTTGCAACAGGGGGCGCTGCAGGGGGGTTGGGGACAGGTGGAGAGGCAGGCACAGGGGCGGCGATAGGGGCGGCGACAGGGGCGGCAATAGGGGCGGCGACAGGGGCAGGCCAAGGGGCAGGGGCAGCGGCAGGGGCAGCGGCAGGGGAGGAAGAGGGGGCTGATGTGGGCGCTGCAGGAGCGGCAGCAGGGGCGGGTGTACCTGCAGTGGCAGCAACAGGGGGAACTGCGGGAGCCTCTGGGGGAGGTACAGCTGCCAAGGGAGGTGCATCTGGGGGAGGTGCATCTAGGGGAGGTGCATCCGGGGGAGGTGCATCTGGGGGAGGTGCATCCGGGGAGGTGCATCTAGAGGGGCCTTGGGAGGGTCAGTGCGGGCGCAGCAGTTGAGGGAGGCGAAGCAGGTGTTCCGAGAGGACGTGGATGAGAGTGTGAGGCTTGCAGTGTGGTGGAGAGCGGTGCTGGGCGGTGCGGCGTGGAAGCAGAGGGCGCTGGTGGGGGTGAGCAGGAGGGTGAGCTTGCTGCTGCTGGCTGTGAGCAAGCGGGGCCACATCTTTGCCTATGTGCCCGAGGTCTACCTGGACGCCATGGTGCGTTGTTGCTATGTTGAAGGCGTGGTGGGTTGCTGTCCTGTGTGATCATAGTGTGCGGAAGAGGGGCACTAGGTGCTGTTGGCTGCCAGCAAGCCGGGCCACATCTTTGCCTACGTGCCCGAGGTCTACCTGGAAGCCATGGTGCGCTGTTGCTATGTTGAAGGCGTGGTGGGTTGCTGTCATATGTGATCATGGTGTGCGGAAGAGGGGCACTAGGTGCTGTTGGCTGCCAGCAAGCCGGGCCACATCTTTGCCTACGTGCCCGAGATCTACCTGGAAGCCATGGTGCGTTGTTATTTGAAGAAATGGTGGGTTGTTGCCTTGTGTAATATGTGATCGAGAGAAACCAGCAAGCAAGGCCACATCTTTGCGTACGTGCCCGAGGTCTCTTTGGAAGCCATGGTGGGTTGTTGTGTTGTGAGGGAGCTCAGTGTGCAACGTATTTGCTTATTTTCCATGCTGGGTTGTTTTCTTAAAAACCATGGATTGGGAAGGATGCATATCTCCTCCCATCTGTCTCCCTGACTGCACTCGTCCCGCTTTAGTGCAACTTCTGCCTCCACCTTCCTCACCTCTCCCTCCACTTCCTCTCCCCCCACCCCTTCCCTTCCATCTCTCGCACCTTTCCCACTCGCACCACTCCCACTCGCACCTCTCCTGCACCCATTCCCCCCATCATTCCCCCCATCATTCCCCCCATCATTCCCCTCATCTCTCCTCCAATCTCTCCCCCCTGTTGTCTCTCCAGATTGAGGCCTTCCATGCCTTCAGGCGCTGCGACCTGCCTCTCTTCCGCCTCCGCCACTCCGTGCACCACCTTGCGCCCTTTGTAATTCCCACACCATCCATCCATCACGCCTTGTCCTCCTCTCACTCTCATGTAGGATACTTAACGAAGGATACTCAGTCTCAGTCTCATGTAGGATACTTAGTTTTTAGTTTTTTTCGTCTAGCACAGCCATCTGCAGAACTTCATTGCGTTTTTTTTCTCCTCCGAAAAAACCTTGGTTAAGTGCCCTTTGCAATGGCGTGGGAGATATATTTTCCAGCATGGCTTTCTCTCTGACGAGTGATACAAAAGCAACAGCTTCAACTTGGTCCACGCGCGCGCCTCGCGCCCTTGGTCTATGCGCGCGCCCTATGTAAACACCTGCACATGCTCTTACCCAGATCCCCATCTTCACTACACCGTCCCAAGTTTCTATCCACTTTCTCTTACTTACACCTGTCCTTCCATCTTTCTTCGACACATCTTGAAACCCCGTTTGAGATCCCCACGGAACAAATTCGTGTCTTTCTCTTTCTCTCTTTCACAGATATCTTTCCTGCTCATGCGGTTCAGCGATGCAAGGATCGCCAATCCAGACACCAGGGACCAGCTGCTACAGACGCTCTCTGTGTTGCTACAGCTGCCGCCCTTCTCCGTCGCACTAGAGACAAACAAGGCTGCCCGCACGTGCTTCATGCCCAGCCTTCTCAACGCATTTCACCAGCGCTTCTGGATACCCGTCTCTCAGGTATTTCCTTAGGTGTCTCTGCCTCTCAGGAGGGTTCTGTCTCCCAGGTGACTCCCCATTGCCTTTACGCATATGCTCCTCCTCTTTTTCACAGCTCAGCAATTTCTTTCAACCCATTTCACGCCTCCAAGAGATTCGCCTTCTGATCCTTTGATACACAACCAGCTTGCACCTCTCTCCCCCACCCACCACCTAGATTCTCCTGCGTCTCTGTGTGAGCAACCCCTTCGGAGGCCCCTCCAGCTTCCCCTCCCTCTCCTCTCCTCCTCCTCCTCCTCCACGCCCTCCCTCTTCGCGCCTCTCTTCCAGCACTCCCTCCACCAGTTGTACCTGCACCAGCCGAACCTCTTCTCGCCTTTCCTCAACTGCCTTTTCAACACACTCAACTGGACTCTCATAGAATTCCTAGTGGCACTGAAAGAGGTGCAGGACTTGCAGCAGCAGGAGGAGGAGCAGCGGTGGCGCGGAACCGGCGGCAGCAGCACCAGCAGGCGTGGGAGCTGCAGCAGCGAAAGTGCAGCGTCATGTTTGACCTTACTTGTAACCTCGCCAGGCTGTTGGAAGTTCTCTGTGAGGCTTCTCCGGAGGTGTTTCTCTCTTCGAAGGGGGGAGGGGGCCGGGAAAAAGGGGAGAAGGGGCCTCTGTCGGGGGAAACTGAGAGGAGTGAGGGGCAGCCCGGAGCCGCCCCTCGACACAGGGGACACAGGAAGGACCAGGCCCCGGAGGAAGGGGAGGGAGGGACCGGGGAAGACCAGAGACAAGGACACGGGAAGCCATGCCTCGGAGACGAGGCAAGGAGGGGTGACCAAGACGGTGGTGCCACAGGAGAGTCTCGTGAGACAGGAGGCGACACGAGCAGGGGGCAGACTCAGGACCAGACCTGGACGCTGCAGCAAACACCTGACCCGATGCAGCTACCTGGCCAGACGCAGGGACAGGAGGGGACCCAGTGGTCAGGGTGTAGAGGCTCGACCCCGGCCGACGCGAAAACGTGGCCAGGTGCCGGCCCGTGCGTGCATCCGAGCAGTGGGTCACCCGCTGACTCGCAGGAGTAAGTTGGTGAACCCCCGCATCCTGCAGGTCAGCACCACTCACCAAGTTCGTCGAGAACCAGGGGAGGTAAAGGCCAGACAAGGTGCCAGAGGGGGCAGCCGGACACGGGAGGACAATAGAGAAGTGAGAGAGGACAGGACCCCGAGAGGGGTCTGCCAGGGAGACTGCAACCGGCCGACCAAGCGGCGTGAGTGTGGTGCGGTCTCGAAAGAAGGAGCGAGAAGCCCCTGAGTCCAGTGTGAAGGTGAGGGAGGCCGAAGCCAACGCGGTACCTGAGAGCGCAGCCTCACCAGTACCTGAGGGCGCAAACGCGCTGGCACCTAGAGCAGCAGCCTCACAAGCACCTAGCGCAGCAGTACCAATGCTCAGGTCGGGCGGGAAACACCAGTAACAGTCACCCTCTTCACTAATAGTCACAGCATACATGGCAGCAAGGATAGCATCAAAGTCAAGATCATAGATAGCGACACCTTTCCTAGACAGCTCTCCCCAGCGGGGGATCTCACTAGCCTCCGGGAACTGCTGATGCCAAGCATCCGTCAGGCGGCCAAAGCAGCGCTGGGTGGGGTGGGCACCCCCACACTGCTCACCCGCGTGGTCGCCGGAGCGAAGGACGTAGGTGCACGGACCAAAACCCCCACCACGCTGACGCTGCGTGTACCACTCACGGAGCTGCTGAGGAGGGGGGATGTCCCGAGAACGTTGCTGCTGCTGCTGCAGCTGCTGGCGCTGACCACCACCGGAGCCGCTCCGCTGCGAAGCGCCACCCCGACCAGCTCCACCTCCTCCACCACCGCCGCCTCCACCTCCGCCACCACCGCCGCCTCCGCTCCCACCGCTACCGCCTCCGCCGCCTCCGCCTCCACTGCTGCCACCGACACCTCCACCCCCGCCACCACTCCCACCGCCACCCCCACTCCCTCCGCCGCCTCCACCGCCACCTCCACCACCCCCGCTAGCTCCACCCGCGCCCTTGCCCCCCTTGCCCTTGCCAGAGCGGCGTCTCCCGCTAGGGGCAGACGCCGCACCGATCGACTCAAGACCAACGAGGCCGGCCGCAGCAGCAGAGGCGACAAAGGGCAACAGGGGGGAAGGGGAACACCCCTCAAAGATGGGGGTGCGAGGGTCACCACGAGAGGCTCCTACAGCGACTATGCTCTTCTCCACTGCTAGGAGGGCCTTCTCTAGGAGGTCAACAGTGAGAGTGGTGGGACAGACTGAGAGGAAGTGGTCCCTTACTACGCGAAGGGCGTCAGGGAGGCGGGTGACTATATAATAGAGAGTGATGTACATGGGGGGGGGGGGGGGGGGGTTCTTGGCGCTGAACTCAGCAGGAGGCCCGGCGCGGTAGCGAGTGTCACTAGTGCGGAGGTGCATAATGAGGTCAGCAACTGTGGGAAAGGCAGCAAGGTCAGGAAAGGTACGGTAGCATGAGGCGGCTCAGTGCAGCAGTGGCAGGGGAAGAGTAGCGCGCAACTACAGCGTCGTACAAGGTCTGAGCACTCTTGTACTGACTAAAGTGCGCGCGCTCAGTGGTAGGTAGGTGGCGACGAACAGCAAGACGTGCAGCAGCATCGGGCGTGGCCCATTGGGAGCAAACGGTGGCGTCAGCGTCAGCAGCAGGGGCAGGAGAGGCGCCAGAGGTGAGGTCAAAGAGGGAGAGACCGTCTGCCCTATCGCACTGTAGGAAAAGCTGCAGGTCATCTACCCAAACCTCAAAGTCAATGGCTCGACCCTCCGCGTCAAAAGCGAGAACACTGGGGGTAGCCATGACAGCAGTAGACTAGCAGTACCAACTGTAGAACAGGGGCAGGGCAGTGACAGAAGCGCTGCTCTCACCAGACACGGCGGGTCGGGCAGCTGAGCAGTACAGCAACACGGCAACACGGCTGCTCGGACAGCGCAGCAGCAACTGCGGCTCTGGGGCACCAGCGGCTCGGCTCCTCAGGCGGCTCGGGCGGCTCGGGCGGCTCGGGTGGCTCGGGCGGCTCGGGCGGCTTAGGCGGCTCGGGCTGGTCGGGCGGCTCGGGTGGCTCGGGCGAGTCGGGCGGCTCGGGCGGCTCGGGCGGCTCGGGCAGGTCGGGCGGCTTGGGCGGCTCGGGCAGGTCGGGCGGCTCGGGCGGCTCGGGCGGTTCGGGCGGCTCGGGCGGCGCGGGCGGTGAAGGGGCGGCAGGGCCGCTGGTGAAGGGCGGCGGGGCCGCTGAGATGGGCGGCGGGGCCGCTGAGAAGGGCGGCGGGGCTGTAGTTGAAGGGCCGCGGGGCCGCTGAGTAGGGCGACGGGGCCGTAGTTGAAGGGCGGCGGGGCCGCTGAGTAGGGCGGCGGGGCCGCTGTGAGAGAGACGGCAGGGCCGCAGCGAAGGGCGGCGGGGCCGCTGAGACGGGCGGCGGGGCCGCTGAGACGGGCGGCGGGGCCGTTGAGACGGGCGGCGGGGCCGTAGCGAAGGGCGGCGGGGCCGCTGCGTGAGTCGGCGGGGCCGCAAAGAAGGGCGGCGGGGCCGCTGAGTGGGGCGGCGGGGCCGCAGTGAAGGGCAGCAGGGCCGCAAAGAAGGGCGGCGGGGCCGCAATGTGAGGCGGCGGAGCCGCAGCGAAGGGCGGCAGGGCCGCGAAGAGGGGCGGCGGGGCCGCAATGTGGGGCGGCGGGGCCGCAGCGAAGGGCGGCGGGGCCGCTGAGAAGGGCGGCGGGGCCGCAGCGAGAGAGGCGGCGGGGCCGCAGCGAAGGGCGGCGGGGCTGCTGAGACGAGCGGCGGGGTCGCAGCAAAGGGCGGCAGGGCCGAATCGACAAGCGGCGGGGCCGCTAGGGCGTTGGGGGCCGCTAGGGCGGCTCGACGAGGTGAGAGCCCGGAGCGCGACTCGGGCTGAGTGTGCTTCGGGCAGGAAAAAAAAGAAACTCGATGTGGTGGGCCCTAGGCACACTTCCCACGGGGGAACCTGCTCGATACCATGAGGAAAGTAGAACGAGAATGAATGACTAAGGAATGGAAGTGATACAAATATGCAACCCTAGAAATGTGTACCCCATATAGGCTACCCCACTATAGCCTACACAATATTATAATTTGACAGTACACTTTGATCGTGACATTTTTTATTCGTTACACAATAAATGAACCATCCATTTCGACATAATTCCACAGGCGTGTGTATAAGCATTTTAACACATTGATGTTTAAGCTGTTCATAGTACAGTTCGTTGCACAAAAAAATCAGCATTACATGGATCATAAAAAAATGCATACTCTGAGCAACATCAGATGGTAACAAAT